TACCAGAAGCTGAATCGCAAATGGACTTTTTTTGAAGTTTTAAGTGTATATAATATTATTTTTTAGAAGTACTAACATTTCACAGGGGTTTCATGACTTATTGTGCTAATTTTGTTCTATTAATTCCAGGCGGGTGATACGCTGTATGTTAGCCGGCTAAACATGCACAGCATGCATTGAGTCTTTTTATTTTATTACCATTGGCACACGTTTCTATACAACTTAGAAATTTACACTAATTTAAGTTCACCTTGGTTTGTGTATAAAACAACATTTTCACAAAATGAAACAGTCAAACATTACCAATCCAGTCTTATAGAGTTCAAAACAAATAATAGACAGTAAATAGAACTCTCGACTAGCTCTTTTTTGTTCCCAGAAATCAAGAAAAAGTTATTTTAGTCGAAAAAGGAATGCAAAACTAGAAAAGTTCGATGTCCTAAAAAAGGAAATAGTTATTCATCGTGATGAAGTAAACAAATAATAATTACTTGAGGTATCGTTTTTCTCACATGTGATTTTTACAATAACTCGAAGGGATTTCTTGCACGCTGAAGGCGGAGCTCTTTTCAATAAAGCCTTCGTTTATAACACCAGAGAGGATTTCTTTGCTGATTATCACAAATGTTTTGGATTTGTAAAATTTAAGGCATTCGGATTCCGAGGCGTTCATACTAAAAACGATAAATTCAGACGCCGTATTTAACTTGAGCCGAATCGAATTCAATGAACACTCACCCCAGACATCAATCTAAATTTATAACACAGTTTTATTAATACAATAAATTAGTTTAAACATTTACAAAACTATTTTTATATCGCAGTCATCTTAACAGCGTTCTTTCTTCAGATCTTGTGTCTTCTGGATAAAACAAATCACCTACGCATAAAAGCACAAAAAATAACATATTTAAAAGAAAATAACAAAATTTACGGTATAGATAGATCCGATAAATTATGCGTGAGTAAATTATGAACTTCGGCATTCAAATTTTGATATATCTATACAAAAAAATAGACTGCAAAACAGTCGGTTTTTTTTCTCAAAATCAGTAAAGAAATCGGTAAAGCGTGGCGTAAGAGTCTTACGCGCTGGAAGCGCGCGAGCCTCACACGCCCTACGGGCGTGCGAGGCGCGCCTCTCCCCAGTCTCGCTCTCTGTTATCAGCCTCATTCCAGACCTTTGGTTTGACTGCTCGCGCGTATTTGAATACGCAAAAATACGGACTGTTTTGCAGTCTAACAAAAAAATCTCTCAAATAGCGAGGCCGAAAGGACACGAATAAAGCCGTATATACAAATGGTATAATTTGTTTTCTTGAGTTTCACGGTTTGTTTCATTTTGATCCAATATAGCAATTGAGTTTCAAGAGATATCAAAACACCCGTAATCGAGTAGCTGCCTGATCATGTATTCTTTCTTACATAATTACATAGAAAAAGAGCTTGCTAGCGAGGAAAAATGTGAAACACAGATTCCAGGAAAATCTTGCCTTTGCATGTAAGAAAAGCGTAACATCACTCCATATTGCTGGCTTTCAGTGTCACGCCATCCAAAATAGATCAAAATAAAAATCAAAACCATTCGACATATAAAGTCCAGAACCTGGGAAATGAAAGGAGGTGAATATACAAAGACCCTCGCCAAGATTTGGGTCGAAGGAATAACTCGTATACGAGATATCCGAGGAAATGTTTCACCCAAATTTATAGAGCTTTGTATGGAGACGCCATGCTGGAGCTCATCCGGATGAGCTCCAACATGGCGGACCGAAACCAAAAGAAACACCTGTTACCGAGTTTTGCTACAAAAGCGTGAATTTACTCCTAGAGGAACTCATAACATTAAAGTAATACTTTTTCTAACACTTGAACTGTTTAGATAGCAAAATTTCTCGAAAAAAGTCACTTTTTTATCCTAAATGACATCTCTTTCGGCCGTCATGTAAATGCTGCGTCAGCAAAAGCTTAAAAATTCAAGGGTACTCTATTACAAAACCAAGAACCCTTTTGAAGCGAAAATTTGATGGAAAATTAGTTTTCAGCTGCTCTAAAACACCATGAAAGTAAAATCTCAGTAGGATCGATAGTTTTGTAGTTTGAATTTTAGTGACGTCATGTGAAAATCAACAATACCGTCCACTCCACAGCCGTTCTTTGTGCCGTCACGCAACGTTCGTTAGAGCGTTGCGTGACGGCAACACAAAGAACGGCTGACCAAAAAAGTGAAACGGGCTAATTTAAACTTCCGCGGAACAGTGTTTATTAAAAGAAAAAGGCCCACAATTACTGTGCAACAGTGCGTACTTACTGAACCGAAATTGAACCAACCCGTTCTATCTATTATTTTCACTGAGCCGCTTTACAGTTTGCAGCTGCCCATCATTTGTGGATCATTTCTTTTTATCGTAATTTTTGTTCCATTCAGCCTCGCTTAGATAGACTACATACACTTCAGTCTTTCTAGAATCGGTGTATTCAGAGAAGAAGACCAAGTCGACTCGTTTTCATGTCAGCGTCACTACTGACAGCTCAGATGACACCTACAATTCTTTCACATGACATATGTTATGTTCAACGCCTGATTTTTGTCGTAACATGATCTTCTCATACATATAGTGCTGCATTCTTCGACTGGTTTTCATCGCTTAGCAAGGATCGGTAGGAAAGTACAATTTTCATAACATTAGAAAACAGCCGACATTTCGTGACCACACCACTAGTTTCCCCTCGAAATGACCTCTGAGCCGAACGAATGCAGAAATTCCATACTGGTGACGTGTCACTACCCATATCTAGGTAGTTCTGCTGATTGGTTAAAGCAAATGTCCCTCTCGCCACGACTAAGAAGCACTTCTCAGACCGGGGTAGTTCACGTCATCAGTATGGAATTTCTACGCTCATTTCTCAGACGTCATTTCGCGGAGAAATCAGTGGACGTCGCGAAATGTCGACTGTTTTCACAGGCTAATTTTCTAAGCCTTCTAAATTAACTAACCATTTTCGTAGATATCATCATAATATTTACGAACGTCCTCTTCATTAACAAATTTTGTTGGACTATCGCTGTGTTGGTTATTTTGGGCCTGACGCAACGGAGTACGATATCTTCTGGTCGGTTTTGTTGTTGGTCTAAGCCTCCATCTCGATCTCAAGAACCGCCTTTCATGAAATCTGACTCGGGATTTGCTACTGTCCGTTAAAAATACAGCGATGGTAAGCAGCGTTAAAATTCCAAAAACAAATAGAATATTTCTGTTCATCGTGAGATTACTTAGTTGCGTCTTCAATAAGGTGAAATGTATCTGTTGAAAGAAAAAAAGAGAAAACTTGAAAAAAAGGGTCTTGTTCGTTAATTTTCTCCTAAAAACGACTAACTGCGTGCATGAGTGATAAAATGGTAGTGCTATTTATGTTCTTAATTTTGGAGATGTTATGGATGTTTGCAGTTTGTTAGTAGCCGTTTATGTTTGTGTGTGTGTGTGTCGTCACCCATGCGCAATTCTCCTACCGGGGCAAAGCGTATGTTTCGTTGTCTTGTATTAACACGAACTGAACTTCGCAAGTGAAGTAACAGAAGACTGTGTAATCAATATTATTTTAAAATACCATTGGCAATTGGTAACAACATGTCCAAAGCTTTCTGTTAAAATCTCGCAACCGACTGCCCTTATTAGGTTTTTCACATGGTCGCTTAT